TTCTGTCTCCTTACCTTAATTCATTGACAACTTATCCAAGGTAACAGATCAATATATAAGAATTTTATTTTATTTTTTTTTAGAGTCAGAGTCTCGCTCTGTCGCCCAGGCTGGAGTGCATTGGCGTGATCTCCGCTCACTGCAAATTCTGCCTGCTGTGCTCAAGCAACTCTCCTGCCTCAGCCTCCCGAGTAGCTGGGACAGAGGCAGGACCCAATCGAATCATAGAACGGGTCGCGCCCCTGGACCGCTGCTCAAGGAGATAGTAAACTGCTAAATGAGCCTCCCACTCGATTCAGTGACTGAGGCGCCGATGTCCAACGTGCTGGCATGCTCCAGGCAACTTTAATAGTAGGATCGATGCCGTACATTCCAAGAGTTACAGTGCTATAGCAGTAGCTGGGACTTCAGGCATGCGCCACCATCCTTAGCTAATTTTTTGTATTTTTAGTAGAGATGGAGCTTCGCCATGTTGGCCAGGCTGGTCTCAAACTCCTGACTTTGTGATCCGCCTGCTTCCGCCTCCTAAAGTGCTAGGAATACAGGTGTAAGCCACCATGCCCGGCCTAGATACTTTGTATCTTTAGAAAACAAACTCAGAGAAGTTAACTTGCTTAAGGTTACATACGTATGATATGTGAACCCAGTATGTAGTGAATGCAGAATTTGAACCTAGTGTCCAACTTTTCATCAGAAAGACATATAGATGGTTAGGGTAGGGACTTCCTCCTCTAAAATGTCGTGTTAGAGTTCCCCATTCAATTCAAAAGTACCTTCTCTGACTTTTCTGGGTAAACGTGCAAAGGGCATGTTTTTTAGTTGGCTATCAGGCTGTCAGCGCATTCTGGACTTGATTTTTTTTTTTTTTTTTTTTTAGCTGGAGTTTCGCTTTTGTTGCCCAGGATGGAGTGCAATGGCATGATCTCAGCTCATCACAACCTCCGTCTCCTGCAAACTCCTGCTGCTGCGCTCAAGCAAACTCTCCTGCCTCAGCCTCCTGAGTAGCTGGGATTACAGGCATTCACTACCAAGCCTGGCTAATTTTTTATTTTTAGTAGAGATGGGGTTTCTCCATGTTGGTCAGGCTGGTCTCCAACTCCTAACCTCAGGTGATCTGCCCACGTCGGCCTCCCAAAGTGCTGAAATTACAGGCTTGAGCCACCGTGCCTGGCCGACTTGAACTCTTTGGAAGAGCCAGTTGGTGAGATGCTATCAATCTTGGCTACAGAGGAAAAGCCAAAATCTGTTTTTAAAAATTATCACTACAACACCTCTGATCACCAAAATGTGTAGATTTCTCCCCACTAGCAACCCATCAGTTCTGCAGGGAACACCAGCTGGGTGGCCTGTAGTTCAATTCAATTCTGTCTCACACTGTCTACCTGGAGATACTGTCAGATCCCATTGGTTAAGGGCTCAGTCCTACAAGACTGTGCCCCTCCCTCAGAAGCCAGTTATGAGTTCAGGCCTCCAGAACTTTTTTTTTTTTTTTTTTTTTTTCCCTGAGATGGAGTCTTGCTCAAGGGATTCTCCTGCCTCAGCCTCCAGAGTGGCCTGGGATTACAAGCGCATGCCACCACACCCAGCTAATTTTTGTGTTTTTGGTAGAGATGGTGTTTCATCATGTTGGCCAGGCTGGTCTTGAACTCCTTACCTCAGGTGATCCGCCCTTCTCAGCCTCCCAAAGTGCTGGGATTACAAGTGTGAGCCATCGCTCTCAGCCCATATAGGACGATGGTGAGCAATTTGGCAGGGAAGAAATTAAAAAGCACATAAGAACAGTATCAAGACCATTGGAATCAGATGACTTTCTGTCCAAGATTCCCAGCTGTGTTTGTGCAAAGATGACTTGATAGTAGTGGAAAACAGGGACAAGAAGAAACCGTCTCTTTCTTCTCAGATAGATCCCCAAAACTGAAAGCCATTTTCAGTCCTGCCCATTGCCCACTAAAGATTTAGAGTTTAGGTCCAAACCCTAAATCTTGGTTCCTTATCTTCTCAAACATGCTCTTGCTTACTTGATCCCTGGAACGAGTGGCCAAGGCCAACGTTATTAGACATTGGTTAATCTCCAATTTCACCTAGCAATGAAGGCCTAGGCTTTTCCGACTTTGGAAACAGAAATTCAGTACACTAAAACGTGCTGATGGCATTTTGGGTTGGGGCTTTTCACAACTGATGACGCTGGAAAATAATCCATAGGAAATTACCTTATCATACCCTAGATTTTGGTTTAGCAGTTTACCACAAAAGTGGCGAGGTGGATTTTGGCTTTTAATTTTAGCTGCTTGCCTCTGTTTTTAGTTCATGTAATTGTCTCCGCAAAGACAGTGAATGGAGAATTCTCCCTAAGGTCAGCATTTAATTATTGCCTCACTCTGGCTGCTATAGTTTTACAACTCTTGGAATGTACGGCATCGATTCTACTATTAAAGTTGCCTAGAGCATGCCAGCACGTTGGACATCAGCGTTCCAGCGACTGCCTCACTCAGAGAATAGAGTAGGAGGCTCATTTTGCAGTTTACTATCTCCGTGAGCAGCGGTCCAGGCGCGGGACCTGTTCTATGATTCGATTGGGTCCTGCCTCTGTCCCTCATCGGAAGGCTCACAGCGCCTACTGTTTTTCAGTAAGATTTGCAGGCTTAGCACCGCCTCTGGAAGCAAGGGGAGTGAAGGGGCGTTGACGAGTAACGGTGGTATTTCTCTCCTCATTGGATGGCTGCTGCGTCAGTCATGCTCTGCTCTGCTCCCGTTGGCGGGAAGGCTTCAGGCGGGTAGCGAGGACTCGGTACTGCTCCCTCCCAAGCTGGGAGCAGGGCTCTTGACGTCTCAGACATTTGTTGTTGGGGTTTGGGCCTCATTAATTATTCATTAGGTACTTGAAAGCACTGCAGGGATTGGTGGCTGAGAGGCCTGATCGACTGTTTCTTAGCTAGAGATACGTGTCACCCAGTACGCGGCCGGAGAAGTTTTGCATAAATTATTCCGATGAGGGGCGGGGCGGGGCCGGTGCATAGATTAGTCAAATAAGCCGGGGAGGAGGGAAGCCGGCTACGAATTAGCCTAAGTTATTAAAGATGGCGGCGGAGCGCAGTCGCTCCGCGATGGACTCGCCGGTCCCGGCCTCTATGTTCGCCCCCGAGCCCAGCTCCCCCCGGGCGGCCAGGGCTGCGGCGGCCGCCGCCCGACTCCACGGCGGCTTCGACTCGGACTGCAGCGAGGACGGCGAGGCGCTCAACGGCGAGCCGGAGCTGGACCTCACCAGCAAGGTAGGCCCGGGCGGCGGCGGCGGGCGCTGAGGGGAGCGGGCGGCGGGCCGAGCAGTCTCCGGGGCGACGGCGGGGCCAGTGGCCGCTCTGTCCGCGGGGAGCGCGGGACAGGGGGAAGGGGCCGAGCCTGGCCACCTGCTGGTCTCCGGGACGTGCGGGGGCTCGCGGCGGGAGGGGCTGTCCCCAAGGTCCCCGCACCCACCTTGGCTCCCCCGCGTCGCCAGCCCAGCCTCCCGCCCTCCCGGCTCCCGCCGAGATCACAACCCCTCGGCTCTGCCACGTGGAACGGGGGCGCCCGACGCTGGCAGTGCTCCGCGCGGTCCCTGTCCCTGCTCAGTGCCCCTCCCCTGCCTCGGGTCCCCACTTAAGGGGATTGGAGACCAAAAGTGTCCTCTATCTGGACCGCGCGGGACAGCTGAGGGGCGAGGTGGCCCGGGCAGGGGGCCGAGACGCTCGAGAAGACAGGTAGTCGGAGGGCAGGGCAGGGTGGCAGTCGCGTCTCTTCCTGGACTCGGGAAAGGAAACAGAAAGTAGTCACTCTGTTTCTGTTTTATGGGGAGGAGTATGTCCGAGCAATGTCTACTTTTTGAGGCCACCCAAAACAATATGGATAGGTGGACAGACTCCATAGTCTCGCTATCCTGGGAGTGGAAGCTCATCTTGTATGAGTGGAGCAGTGAAGGACGTTTTAAACCATGTCTTCTGAGCTGTCGAGAAGGTAGGCAAGAATTAAGGGCTCGCCAACAGCTTGGCATTGTGACTGGTGTTTTCAAGGTGCTTAACGTTCCTTAGGGAAAGAATGCCAACTTGGGAGTCAGGCAGGGCTTGGGTTCCCTTTCCTGCCCTGCCATCGAAAGGTTGCGTGACGTTGGGAAAGTTTCTTAACCTTTCAGTTCTTCAACCACCTCATCTTGAGAAAATATAGATGGGTTGTAAAAATTAGAAATGTATATGAAGACACCTAATAGTGCCTGATGCATTCTAGAGACTCAGTAAATGTTTGAAGTGAACAAGATAGTTCCTAATTTCCTGTGCTGATTGAATAGTGGATGAAAGACAGAAGAATACCAGTACCACCGCTGACCTTTGTAGTGTAGTTATGATAGACATTTTATCCAGCTTTGAAAGTGTTTGTGCCTTTTTATAGTTTATGCTGGCAAAATTGCATGAAACTTGGTCCTAAACTGGAAAGAAGTTTCCCTGCAACCTAAGCAAGTTATTTTCAACTGCTCTTTGCCCTTCTAGTCTCACGTGAGCACATGGAAGCCAGCTAGCCTGTCAGAGTTGGTCCTGTCTTGTGCCTGTAATGCCATAATGAGGATGGCTGAGCTTAGAGAGAGGGTTGGCCGGGACCATGTAAAAGACCCAGGAAACATCCAGCTTACAATTACAAACTCTGATGAGTCAACTTGGGAGGTTACAAGGTTATGCACCTGGCTCAAAAGCAGACAAACTGGATGTCAACACATGGTCAAGGTGCTGAAGAAACATAGTTTGAAATTGCAGGGCAGAATTGCAAAGAGGGTAGTTCCTTCATTTCTTGACCAGCTCATTTCATATTCCTAGATGTGGCCAGGTGCGGTGGCTCACGCCTGTAATCCCAGCACTTTAGGAGGCTGAGGTGGGTGGATCACCTGAGGTCAGGAGTTTGAGACTAGCCTGGCCGACATCGTGAAACCCCCATCTCTACTAAAAATATAAAAATTAGCCAGGCATGGTGGCACGTGCCTGTAGTCCCAGCTGCTTGGGAGGCTGAGGCTGGAGAATTACTTGATCCCTGGAGGCGGAAGTTGCAGCGAGCTGAGATTGTGCCACTGCACTCCAGCCTGGGTGACCGAGCGAGACTCCCTCTCAAAAAAACCCAAAACAAACCAAAATATTTCTCGACACGTTATTTCATCACATAGCTGGGGAAGTCCTCCTCACAATTAAAAAAACTGTATATAAATATTGATGATATCAAAAAGAAAAAGTGATGGTGTGGAGGGAGAGAAAGGTTGGGTTGAATAGACTGATTCCAGAGGAAAAGATTAGAAGCTAAAGGTTTATATCCTTACAATAATAAATGTGGAGACGTAAGGCTCTGAGAGCTTCCAAAGACAGAAACGCTTAGTGAATAGTGGTGGCTAGCTTCATGCAACAAGGTTTTTCTGGGAATGTTTGGGCAAAGAAAACCTTGTAGCTTCACATTTACTGAGTTGTGGACTTGATGCTTTTACATGTTATTACATTTGCTCTTTACAGTGGCCTTAGGATGCAGGTAGTATTAGCTCTGTTTTGTAGATTGAAAAACTGAGACTCACAGGGGTTAAGTTCTTTGTCCAAGGTCAGACAGGAGTGGTTAGAGAATGGGGTCTGACACACCTATTGCCAAATGGCTTCCCCAAATAAGTGTTGTTATTGTCAGACATTTGCAAAATGATGGTGCTAATACTCATCGTAGTGGTAATGGTGATGGTATTTTGTTGATGAAGATGAGTCTTGCAGGCAGTTTTCATTCCCAAATAATCAATATAGCTAAGGCAAGATAGAACAGAATTCTTTTGTTATCCTGGGAGCCACTGGCCTGTGGGTAGAGGGCATGGAGATATATGAGATCTCTGTCCTGTGGGCTTCCAGATGCCAACTGCAGGTAGAAGACTTTGGCATGTAGTGGAAAGCACTCTTCTTTCTATCCACAGTGCCAGATTCTCAGTCACTTGGGTCCTGCCCCTCTTGGGAGGCAGGCTGCTTGTGCCCTCTTTACCATGGGTTATGGCTCAGACATACACATTTTAGGATATCTTATGGATTATATGAGGCCTGAGGCTCAAAGACTACTTCAGGAGAAGCAGAGAGAGCATGAAGGGGCTATGCAGCTTTTTTAGATTAGGGTGCTGTGGGGGTTCAGTCAGGATCTTTAGTTAGGCTATATTGATCAGCTTTGTCTGTGGTGCTCTTCTAGCAAGTGTGGTCCTAAGGCTGTTGGTTTTTTTTCTAGCTGGTTCTAGTGAGCCCTACATCAGAGCAGTATGACAGCCTACTTCGGCAGATGTGGGAGAGGATGGACGAGGGATGCGGAGAGACCATATATGTCATTGGGCAGGGATCAGGTGAGCATAGTTTTCCTTTCACTTTATTTAAAAAAATTATTGGGCCGGGCGCGGTGGCTCAAGGTCAGGTGTGGTGGCTCACACCTGTAATCCCAGCACTTTGGGAGGCCCAGACAGATCACCTGAGGTCAGGAGTTTGAGACCAGCCTGGTCAACATGGTGAAACCCCATCTCTACTAAAAATACAAAAAATTAGCCGGGCGTGGTGGTAGCTGCCTATAATCCCAGCCATTTGGGAGGCTGAGGCAGGAGAATCACTTGAACCCGGGAGGCAGATGTTGCAGTGAGCCGAGATCAGGCCATTGCACTCTAGCCTGGGCAACAAGAGCGAAACTCCGTCTCAAAAAAAAAATTATTAGAGCACATTTTCCCCTCTTTTTGAACTTTTCTGCTTATGTGTCTCAGTTACAGTGATTCTTTAGTGTCTGCAGAACTGTTTGGAGGATGTAAAAGTACAAAGTGAATGTTGATTCTCACCTTAGTCGTCCTAATATGCTTGACTTGAAAGATTCACTTTCCAAGCAGTTTTACAGATGCTTCCTTTTTATCTCCAGTACTTTCCATTTGCATAAGAGGAAATGAAGCACAAAGCAAAGGAACTTCTTGTCTAAGGTAATCATAGTTAGTTCTAGAATTAAGCTTATTTCTGGGCAGCCAGAGGTCTTCTCTTCCAAGCCCTGTTTACAGAGCCCATTGCTAGTTATTTTCTGCTCAGCAGAGGACCTCCATGATTTTTCTTGGTGTCAGCAAAGAAGAATTCCTCTCTTCAGATGCCCAGAATTCCAATCTTCAGTCAGGCTCCTTGCCCCAGACCATACTGACCATTTAGTCCGGATAGCTGTGATAACAGAGGTCCTCTTCTCTCCCCTCTGGATCCTGTCAGACATGTAGTCTTGTAACCACCCTGAAAGGGACTGGTCATTGTTCTCCAAGCTGCCTATTCCTTGTGATGGAACCTACTATTTTAGAGGAAGGCAGCCCCCACAACAATTCCAGAGTATGTTACGGTTTTTTCCCCTGGTTGCTCCTAGTTGACAACTTCAACACGAGACCTACTTACCTTCATCTTCATTATGGTATTATCTTTGCTGAAATGACAGCTGGGGTTGTTAACATTTATGAATTCAGCCCATACCAGCACTTGTCTCTGTCATCTTTGCAGGAAGCCCAGGTGGGCCTGGATGCATCATTAAAGAAACACTTTTCTTTGCTGAATGTAGACTTTGTAAAGCCAGGTAATAATTCTTTTGCAGTTTGAGTTGAAGATTGAAGAAATCTCAAAATCATTCTTAAACTATTTGACACATATGTATTAAGTATCTTCTAAGGCTCGCCACTGTTGCAAAACTTTTGGAAACTTAAAATCTGGTCCCTGCCCCAAGGAGGAAAGAGAGCATATACACAAATAACCTCCGTGGAAAACAGTATTTGGAAACGTTGTAAGAGTAACATAAGGAAGAAGGATTAGCTCTCCAGATGCAGCTGTGCCTTCCTTTGAAATGTCTTTCATATCTGTTCTTTCCTTCCCATCCTTGCTGCTACCTCCCTAGTTGTGGGTCTTACCACCTAAAGGAAGGCATGGCCAGAGAGATAGGCAAACTAAGAACTTGCCTATCAAGAAAGGGAGAGAGTTGATTAGCATTATCAAGTGCTACAGATGCGTCAATGAGTACCAGGTTCAGAGAAAGCATTCCATTTGTTGACTAGGAGATCATTGGTAGTGTTTTGAAAGCTTTGATGTCAGGTGCACATCTGGTCTGCTGTAATAAGATGAACCCCTCAAAGATCACTTAGTGATTGTAGAATTTCAGGAACCACATATAGGTCAATTTTGACAAACGTTGAGTCTGTTCTTTGAAGACCCAGATTCTTAAGACTCCCCTTTCCTCTCATCCTTTTATGTGGACTCTGAATTTTACCATGCCTTGACAACTCACAATTAATTGACCCACCCATGGCAAAGCGTAAGATGTCAGGTATTCATTAACACATCTATACACCCAACATTATCCTTGAATCCACCAGCTGGATGCTGTTAGATTCATAGTGACTCCCTCCTGCTGGAATTCTTTACAGATAGAAAGAGATTATAACGAGTTAAACAAGTTGAACATTAAACAGAAGACTAACCCAGAAGCAGGGCCCCAGAAGTCAGTTTCATCACTGATTGCCTTGCTGCTTCATCTCTGTTTACCATGTCCTTACTTTGTAAAATGGGAATGACACCTTCCCCATCCTACCTCAGAGAAATTTTGTATAGATGAATGAGACATTTAAAAATTATAACCGATGTTTTAAAAGGGGCAGCCTGGCCTAGTTGATAGAATCTGGAGCCTGGCAGGCCTGGATTTGCCTGCTGACTCTTTTCCTTGTCTTAAAATGGGGATAATAATAGGATTTCTCCCATGGTGTGGTAGTGAAGATTAAATGAGAATTCAAGGAAATCATGGTGACTAGTAAGATAAATGTTAGTTAGTATTAGTAGTTGCAGTAGTAATTTATTTAAGGGTCCCAGGTTGTGGTTGATTTATCGTGAGATTTTTTTCAAAAAGAAGGCTCATACCTATAATCCTAGCACTTTGTGAGGCCAAGATGGGTGAATCACTTGAGGCCAGGAGTTTGAGACCAGCCTGGCCAACATAGTAAAACCCCATCTCTACTAAAAATGCAAAAAATTAGCTGGGCATGGTGGTACACTCCTGTGATCCCAGCTACTCAGGAGGCTAAGGCACGAGAATCATTTGAACCCGGGAGGTGGAGGTTGCAGTGAGCTGAGATGGTGACCGAGTGAGACGCTGTCTCAAAAGAAAAACAAAAAATAAATTTATAGTTTGGGGGACATAGGAGGAGTATTAAGTGTTTTTAAATTACTATTTATTTTTATTTTTTTTTGTAATGGAGTTTCTCTCTTGTCCAGGCTGGAGTGCAGTGGCGCAATCTCGGCTCACTGCAACCTCCGCCTCCCAGGTTCAAGTGATTCTCCTGCCTCAGCCTCCTGAGTAGCTGGGACTACAGGTGCCTGCCACCACTCCCAGCTAAATTTTGTATTTTTAGTAGAGACAGGGTTTCACCATGTTGGCCAGGCTAGTCTCAAACTCCTGACCTCAGGTGATCCGCCACCTCAGCCTCCCAAAGTGCTAGGATTTACAGATGTGAGCCACTGTGCCTGGCCAAGGAGTACTAAGTCTCTGTGGAAGAGTCAGGAAGGGCTGTGAAGAGGAGCTGCCTCTTTAATTGATTCTAAAGGATGAGTAGGAGTTTTCAGGTAAATGGAGAAAATAGTGAATGGGCAGAGGAAACCATACACATGAGGCGTGGAGGCATTGGAGAAAGGAATATATGGTGGACCAGAAGTAATCCAGTAGGATGAGTGGAGAGTGTGACGTCCTGAGTGGTAGGAGGAGAGGCTGGACAGAGGAAAGCAGGGGTCAGATTCTGAATGAATGCCATGTCAAAGAGGTTAGACTTTTATTCTAAAAGTCTAGGAAGCCTTTGCAGCCTGTAGATCAGGAGAATCCATATAGGAAAGGTAAATGAGCCAGCAGGATGGAAATCTGATTAGGGCCTGGCATGGCTGAGTATGTGGCCTTTAGTAATTGGACCTCTGCAGCTTTTCTCCTCCACCTTTGTCTCCACTTCTACAGAGTGAGGAATGTGATGCATGCTGGAGACGGGTAATGTGACGAGAGCCCTGATGGAGAAGTTGATGTTGGTGATGCCCTTGGTGTGGAGCAGGACCTGAAAGAACAGAAGCAGGGGAGGGTGAATAGAATTGGGAGCCTGGGAAGCATGGCAGGGTTAGCCAGCCTTCTCAGGACCACTTCCAGCAAGCACCTCTCTAACCTGAAAGGCCTTCACAGCTTGCTTGGCCATGCATTTAGAAACTCCTCTTTGTTCATTTGTTTTACACTTTACAAACGTTTGAGGACTTGATATAGGAAAGGCACTGGTTGTGGGGCATCAGGGAATTGTTGCGATGTGGGCCCTGTTTTCGAGATGCTTTTGTATTGTGGGGGGAGGAGAGGACCTGTATCCAAAACACTGTTGCACAAGGCAGTACATGGCAAATGTAAGGGAGACACAAACGTTTGTGGGCAGAATGAGTAGGATTTTGCCAGGAGGAGGTGCACTGTTGGGTTTTCAGGATAGGAAATCCACGAGCAAAGGTGTAGAGCTAGGATCCTGCAGAGAACCCCAGCACAAGGAAAGGGGAGTGCTGTGTGTGTGATGGGGCCACTTGTACCAGGACAGAGCTTACAAGGGGTGAGTGAGGAGGGAGTACGAGTGAGGAGGGAGTATGGCACAAATGGGGAGGCTGTTAAGCAGCTGGGCCTGGGGAGCCTTTCAAAGGCTTTGACTTGGAAGTGACAGCATCAGAGCTGTGCTTTATTTAGGAACCTGAGGGGATGGTTGGAGGGAATAGAGACTGAATTTGCAAAGACCAAAGTGAAGAGTCTATTGTGGTGATTCAGGTAGAATAAGTGCCTGAACCAGGCTGGTGGTTGTGGAATGGCGAAAAGGGCAGACGTCAGGGAAGAAGGCAAGGTAAAATTCTAGAATCAGCAGGACTGGACTGATGAGACTGGTGGCTAGAGAGATGGTATTGTCATTGTCAGAAATAAAGAAGGAACTGGTCAGGCAGTAAGAGGAACCCTCGCGCTGGAGGAAAAGTCTCTAGATTTGGAATCCGAAGACCTGAACTCATGGCCCCTCCCAGCTCTGAGACCTCTTTGTGTTCTTTTTACCCCACTGTTAAATGAAAAGGGAACAGTAACGCCTACCTCATAAGATTACAGTAAGAACCAAAATGCTTTATTAACATTGTTAGTGTTTGTGCTGTTGTTTAAAAGAGGGTTGGTGGGGGGGGTATTGAATTTGGATATCAGACTTCTAGGAGTTATCATCCAAACAACGGGAACTTCAGTCTGGAGTTCTGAGCATAGGATGGTGTTAGGAATAAGTGTTTTTATAGTTTTCAGAATGACAGCTGAAGCCATAGAACAAGATGGCCAAGGGGAAAGTTTGGCAGAAACAGAAGAGGGTCACTGACACACGACTGGAAAAGACTAGCATTCAGGAGACGGGAGCGGGGGACAGGGGTGGGGAGGCACGTCAGGAAAGGTCAGGTGATGGGCAAGCAGGGTGGGAGGGAAGTGCTTCAAAAAGGAAAGGCAGAGTGGCCAGCAGTATCAAAAGCTGGAGGAGTCAAGAAGAGGGCATTGGAGAGAGAGGTTAGAAGGCCACTGGTGGGCCGGGCATGGAGGCTCACGCCTGTAATCCCGGCACTTTGGGAGGCTGAGGTGGGCAGATCACTTGAAGTCCAGAATTCGAGACTAGTTTGGCCAATATGGTGAAACCCCATCTGTATTAAAAATTCAAAATTTAGCCAGGCATGGTGGCAGGCACCTGTAATCCCAGCTACTCGGGAGGCTGAGGCAGGAGAATCACTTGAACTTGGGAGGCGGAGGTTGCAGTGAGCTGAGATTGTGCAGCTGCATTCCAGCCTGGGTGACAGAGCGAGACTCCATCTCAAAAAAAAAAAAGGCCACTGGTGGCATGTGACAACTGTGGTTTCTTCCTTAGTGGGCAGATTTTGAGTGAGTAGGTGGTGGGGTAGTACTGTCAACGTGTGTTGATGACTCTTGAGATGTTTGATGGTGAAAGGAAAAACAGGGGATGGTAGCTTTGCAGATAAACAAGGGAAAGGGAAGGGGGGTGGTTTTCCTTAGTTTAGGAGTTTGTTTGGAGTGGGAGGAAGAGAAAAAGAGACAAGGAGAGTACTTCGTGCTGCAAGGCCTTTCGACGGAAGAGAGTCACACTTACTGAAGAGGTTAGCCAGCCAGGGGAAGGAGCAGGGGCACTCTGGGAGACAGGATAGCTGGGAAAGGCTGAGGGAGTGATTGTGGAAATTAAATCCGACACCTCATGGAAAGCAGCTGATGGGTTGTCATATAGTAGGAGCTCAATAACTGGTCGGTTGGTCCTGCCCTCTGTCTGCTTCCCTTCCTTGTCCTGAGCTCAAACATGTCAGCTGAGCTGCCTTGGTTAAAAATCTTATCTCTAAAATGTTTCTGAATTCCTTCCCCATTTTCCTCCATCTTTCTGTTGTCATTATCTCTTGCCTGCATTACTTAGAATGACTTCCTAACTGGCCTTTCCCTTGCTGGTGCACACTCAGCACCGCTACCCAGGAGATCCTTCTAACCCACAGCCATCTGGTCATGTTACTCCCCTGCCTCAGCCCCTGGGCGTCTCACTGCCTGGTGTGGAAGGTGTGTCGCTGCTGTCCGTCTGTTGTGCCACTTCCACCTCTCATGTGGTCTCCTGCCACTCCATGTCACCCATTCTGCTCCCCAACATGCTGAGCTGCTTCCTGGTCCCTGAACTTGCCATGATCTGCTACGCTATGCTTTGTTCCTCTGGCTAGAAGGTCCTTCCCTGTTCTTCTGCAGGCCCAGCACTTGTTGACCTAGCTTGGCATCAGCCCTCTGCAGAACTGCCCTCAGCTTCCCTAGGCAGAGCTTTCCAATCTCTTCGCAGAGTCCTAGAGTGCAGCACTCAAGCTGTATTGCAATTAATTAATTTTCTATCTGCCTCCCCTGCTGGGCTGTGAGCTCGCTAGGGGCACCTGTAGTCCTTGTACCCAGCATGAGGGTTGGCATAAAACCTGGGAGAGCCTCAGTGACTGTTGTTGAATGAATTAGCAAATGTTCTGCTTGATGAGGAGGTCTGTGGCACTGTCAAGTTTTAACTTGATGTGTTCCCAAGTTTTCTCTCGGGTGGAGAGCACCCCTGTTCCTCTGCAGTGCTGGGGTTGGGAGGTAGTAGCCTTTGTTAGGTGGGGTTCCTGGCAGGCTGGTTGTCAGGCTGGTTGGTCAGGACTCCCTCTCCTGCTGATGTCTGGGCTCTTGTCACCAGATGGGACAGAGTATGGGCTGAGTGAAGCTGACATGGAGGCCTCCTACGCCACAGTGAAGAGCATGGCGGAACAGATAGAGGCCGATGTCATCCTCCTGCGGGAACGGCAAGAAGCTGGGGGCCGTGTGCGTGATTACCTGGTTCGGAAACGAGTCGGAGACAACGACTTCCTGGAGGTCAGGTGAGGAGGCCTCAGGACGCTGTGGGGTCCATTCTTCACGGAGGATGGTGACTGAGCCTGTGGCACTCAGCATGTCGGCTCCATCCTTTCCCCTCCTGAGGTGTGGAAAGAGTGTCTGGGTGTCCGGGGAGGTGGTGGCTCCTTTCTCTAATTCTGTACTTCCCTGTCCCTAGAGAATTCCCTTTGGTGTAATCCCAGCACTTTGGGAGGCCGAGGCGGGTGGATCACGAGGTCAAGAGATCGAGACCATCCTGGTCAACATGGTGAAACCCCGTCTCTACTAAAAATACAAAAAATTAGCTGGGCATGGTGGTGCGTGCCTGTAATCCCAGCTACTCAGGAGGCTGAGGCAGGAGAATTGCCTGAACCCAGGAGGCGGAGGTTGCGGTGAGCCGAGATTGCGCCATTGCACTCCAGCCTGGGTAACAAGAGCGAAACTCCGTCTCAAAAAAAAAAAAAAAAAAAAAAAAAAGAGAATTCCCTTTGGGAAGAGCGTGAAGAGAGGCCAGCCATGCATTCTGTGGCTGTTCTCTGTGGATGTGTTTGTTTTCCCTTCAGTCTGTGAGCCTGGAAACCAGGGTCATGGAGAAGAGGGTTTTGTGCCTCTGGTAGCCTTGTAGCTCTTCCTGGCAGCACCTGGCAGCTAGCGGGAGTTAAGGGAGATAGCCACTTTGGGAGTCCGGGTCCTTCTCATGCTCACAGCAGCAGCTCCAGGAACCTTCCCACTGTGCTCCTTCTGCTCAAGGAGGAGCCGTGAACTGGAGGGGCTCAGGGGCAAGCCCGGACTTGCAGATCCAGTTACTGGGGTTGTGAGTGGGTGCTCCACTTCACTCATGCACTAACTCTCACACAGATGTATGGGTTCATGTACACACAGGGTAGCAGTGGTGGGCAATGTGGATGCCGGCAAAAGCACCCTCCTGGGTGTCCTGACACATGGGGAGCTGGACAATGGCCGAGGCTTCGCCCGCCAGAAACTCTTCCGCCACAAACATGAAATTGAATCTGGTCGCACCAGCAGTGTGGGCAACGACATTCTGGGCTTTGACAGCGAAGGCAATGTAGTGAACAAGCCTGACAGCCACGGTGGCAGCCTGGAGTGGACTAAGATTTGTGAGAAGTCCACTAAGGTCATTACCTTCATCGACTTGGCTGGTCATGAGAAGTACCTGAAAACCACTGTCTTCGGCATGACAGGCCATCTGCCTGACTTCTGCATGCTCATGGTGAGTGGGAGGTGCCCCTTGGAGGGGAGGCTTCAGCAGGACTGCATGGGGCTGGTTATGTGCAAGCCTGAAACTGTTCTGAGACTGAGGCCTGTTGGTTTGGGGCTTTGATACTGGGTGAGACTGGCAAGTTTTGCGGGGGTGCCCAGTGCTCTGAGTAATGGTCTTTCTCAAGGTGTGAACCTTGATCTCTCCCTTACATGAGACTAGGGAAAGGATCTTTTTGGTAAAAACCAGGTACCCTTGAAGACCTGTCTTATTTTTTGCAGAGGCATGGAGAAGGGTTTCTCCTGGGGCTTGTTACCTTCAGAAATGTTTTTTGCAGAGGATTGGGCTACTTTGAGGAGGTGACACTAGGTAGGTAGTACCTTTAGATGGGGGTGGGCCTGGGGAAGAAATGGAGAAGAGAGCCACAAGGAGGCACAGGCCGCAGTCAAGAGGCCCTGAGAGGTGGCCTCTCCTAGAGCATGGGAGGAAGATCGGCCAGTGCACAGCCCTTGTTGAGAGGCTCCTGTGTGCCGGGTACCATGTGAGGTCTGATGATACAGCAGTGAACAAGGCTGTCCAGAGGCTCCCAAAAAGCTTAGGATCAAGTGTGGTTAAATTTTTAAGCAGCTATTCCTGCTAGGAACATTAAAAACAAATAAAAAAAATTTTAAGCATCTCATCTAATAAGATTAACTGAGAAAAAAAAAGGAGCAGAGGGCTCTGTGTTGGATCCCATTGCTAAGCTTGCCTTTGTGACCCATTGATCTTCCTCCCTGGACAGACATGGGAGTGCTGAGGGAAGCCGCAAGGCCTGTAACCTTGTGCACATCTCCACAGCTTTCACAGCAGGAGGAAGGAAGAGGGAGGGCGGGAAGGGAGAGAGTCAGAGACACACGTGCCTTGAGTGTTCCCTTGGCAAGCCCTTCCCAAAACTTTCCCCATTTCTCGATTCCTTCAGCTGCCTGTATTAATAAATGTAGTAAACATGAGCATCTGTTCATAGCAGACTTGATCAAGTTGCTCCACAAACACAGGTTCTCAAGCAAATTCTCCCCAAACTGGAGCAGTAAAGGGAGGCAGAGCATACCATGTGAACACTTACAGGCTCTCTGCCTGAGGCTCTTGGGACCTCAGCATGCCTTTCCCATCTCCTTGAATGTTGCAAATAGCCATGACCAGCTTCTTGACTGGGCTGAGGAAAGCTGCTCACCAGGAAGAGATCTCAGTAGACGATCCAGAGGGCATATTTGGGGGAGTTGTTGGGTTGATATTAAGAAGGGTATAGAAACTGGTTGGGAATAAGCATTTTTCCAGCTCAGCTGCAGTGAGTAAGACTAATTAATGAAAATGTCTTCACCCTAGACAAAATATTACGTATGTATTATCTGACTTACTGGTTGTGATCCAAATGTTAACATTTCTGTAGAAAACAATGAAATATCTCATTATAGTTCCATGGTATTCAATTTCTAGGAAAAAAATATTTAAGATATACAGAAAACAGAGCTGTAGTGCACTCTCTTCTCCAGGTTGGGAAGAGCAAAAGTGAGTCTGCATTGGATTGGAAAGGTGGCTGAAGGGCACGGACAGCCTTAGGGGAAAGACTGTGGAGGTGTCCTGGTGGAGAGAGAGGGAAGTGCCAGCCGGGGTGACTCACCTGGGAGCTGTGGTGACCCAAGGGGCATCTCCAGGACACACTGGAGTGGATAGAGCACTGTGTAAATACATCACAGCAGTTTTTCTTTTTAATTTTCTTCTGGTTTAACATGGTACAAAATAGTGAAAAGTCTCCCTTCTGCCTCTGTCCAGTTTCCTCCCAGAGGCAACCAGTATTTCTAGTTTCTTGTGTACCTGCCAGAGATATTTTGTACTCAGACCAACAAATGTGTGTATATTTTCTCCCTCCAATTTTAAACATTCAGAAAAGATAAAAGAATAGTATAATGAATACTATAAACTCGCCACTTAGATTCAGCAATCTTGAACATTTTGTCGCCAGACACAGTGGCTCACGCCTGTAATCCCAGCACTTTGGGAGACTGAGGTGGGTGGATCACTAGGTCAGGAGTTCAAGACCAGCATGGCCAAAATGGTGAAGTGAAACCCCAGCTCTACTAAAAATACAAAAAAATTAGCTGAGTGTGGTGGCGGGCACCTGTAATCCCAGCTGCTCAGGAGGCTGAGGCAAAGAATTGCTTGAACCTGGGAGGCAGAAGTTGCCGTGAGCTGAGATCACGCCACTGCACTCCAGCCTGGGTGACAGAGTGAGACTTCGTCTCAAAAAAACCCCCCAAATTTGCAATATTTATATGTATATATGATGGGTACATATGTGTATATATAATTTTTATTAATTTTTTTTTGAGATGGAGTCTTGCTCTCTTGCCTAGGCCGGAGTGCAGTGGCGTGATGCATGTTGGCCAGGCTGGTCTTGAACTCCTGACCTCTAGCAATCTGCTCACCTCGGCCTCCCAGAGTGCTGGGATTACAGGCGTGAGCCGCTGCATCCAGCCCTATTAAATTTTGTTTTTTCTCAAAGAAGGCGATTATGAAAACCTATTTAATTTTTTTAAAGAGACAAAGCCTCGCTTTGTGACCCAGGCTAGAGTACAGTGGTGCGATTATAGTTCATTGTAACCTCAAACTCCTCAGCTCAAGGGATCCTCCCATCTCAGCCTCCCTAGTACCTAGGACTACAGGTATGCACAGCCACGCCTGGCTAATACTGTTTTTTAATTTTTTTAGAGATGAGATCTTGCTGTGTTGCCCAGGCTGGTCTCAAAACTCTTGGCTTGAAGTAATCCTCCTACCTTGGCGCCCCCCCCCCAAGGTGCTGGGATTACAGGTATGAGCCACTGTGCCCAGCCAAGTATATAAGTTTAGTTTGGGGCTTTTTTTTTTTTTTTTTGGCTGAATCACTTGAAAATAGTGGAAATGTCTTCACCCCAGACAAAGTCACAATATAAACATTGTGACCTTTCACCCTCAAACACCTCAGCGTAAAAGTTAGGCTGGTATCTTACTGTGTTTACAATCAAGAAAATGAATAATAGTTACCTAATATCCTCCAATATCTATTCTGCATTTATGTTATTTCAGATGTTTCCCACGTCTTTCAGCTGCTTTTTTTTTTTAAGGCATTAATTAATTACCACTTATCCTCCCCACCTTTTAT